AATATAGATTGTGTACATAACAGTGATGACAAAAAAAAGAAAATAAAAAATCACTAAAGACACAGAAAATCCCTTTTCTAAATTTCAGAAGAAAGCTTGCACAATTTTAAAATTTCCTAAATAAATGATTTTTTTCATAAGGTATATCTTTGCCCGAAGAGGAACGTACCAGTTCCGAAATATAAAAATAGTTTTTATGTATATTTATATAAAATGATTTTATTGTAATATTATAAATTTTATTGTAATTTATAATAATAATATTTAGGCCAACAACTTTGTGTTGGCGACAGTTTTTTTTAAAAGTTAAACTAATAACTGTGGATGCTGTTCTTTTTTATTATATATATATATATATATATATATATATATATATATATATATATATATATATAATTATTTATTTAAAAATATGATTCCAAATCGCGACATAAGAAGTCCCATGTTTCAAAACAAGAGCCTAAAACTTCAATATAATTATTTAAATTAAATTGAGTTAAAAATTTTCTGTTCCATCTTCAATCGAAATTTTTTGGAATAACGTATATCTGAAGTTTACGTATTTTTAAAATTTATGCATATATATATATATGCTTCTAGACATATGTTTTAAATTTATGCATATATATATATATATATATATATATATATATATATATATATATATATATAGACATATGTAGTTTTAATATTTCGGTTTCTCACGTGGTATGACGTCATAGAATCACATCATGTATTTATGACCTGCGCCTGCTATTCCAAGGCCGTTATAAAAATAGCAGTTTTCTATAACATAACAGAATATTATCTTTGATAGTGAATATCTTTGTTTAAATGTCCGTATAACCACCCTGAAAGATGGCTCATTGAGCCGAAAGCTTAGATCAAGGAACATGCAAAAAAAAATCCAAATATTGGACAATTTTTTTTGTTTTTAGGGAAAAACCGAAATTAAAGCAAATGCATGGAGTTTAGATTTTATGATCAAACATATGCTGACATTCATATACATCAAGGAAAAACTTATAGCAAAACGGAAAATACGGTTATAAATTATAATTTATACCAACTTTGTAATTTCGGTCTGATGAGACGAGTGTTAAAAACTTACCCGTTGAAATAAATTATAATTTATAAATTTTTCGATGATGCGTTAAGTTTTTGATATATATATATATATATATATATATATATATATATATATATATATATATATATAAACTTGAGATATCTGGAATAAATGCCAACTATATTTTATGATGATTTTACCCAGCACGTCAGAAACGGGTGTTGGAATCATGGTAATGGAGATTGAACCTTCCGTCAATAACACATAAATTCTTTTGTTAAGTATATGAAAGCTAAGCGGCAGTCTGGTAAATTGGCGACTTACATTAAAGCGCGTACAAAACAGGAGTGTGTCATTGAATTCGGTCATGCAGAAGAAATGGCCTCTATTAGCATTCATCGACGCTTGCGGAGACAAAACGGTAGATGCGAGTACAATTACGGGTGGGTAATAAACTTCGTTCCGGTAGGTCCTACCCAGCTGTCAACATATGAAATAAAGAATTATTGCTCACCACTAGTAAAACATGAATTGCCAGTGTTGATGACGATAAAGAAAAATACATTTTTGTAACTGAAAATTTGTTTATTTAATATATATATATATATATATATATATATATATATATATATATATATATATATAAGAATGATTATAGGTATTTTATTTTTATATTATACAATCTTACAGCATATCGCGAAATTAGTATTACTGACATTGGACTGTACAGAGATGATGGGCTTAGGGTTATAAAGAATTCTACAAACTTTAAAATTGATAAAATTAGAAAACTATTATACACAGAATTTAAATGCCTCAACTTAAAAATGACTGTAAGTATTAAATCGAAAAAGGTGAACTTCCTTGATATAATATTAGATTCAATGAATAATATATACATACCTTATAAAAAACAGCAGTAATCCTTTGTATATACACCGTAAATCTAATCATCCTCCATCTATAATTAAGCATATACCTTTATCTATCGAAAAGAGAATAAGTACAAATTCAGCAAATGAGAAGATTTTCTATGAACATATTAATTTCTGTAATAAAGCTCTAAAAGATAGCGGCAATAAAAGTCCAAAACTCAGTTACATAAAAAATGAAAGTGGAAACCCCAGAAAAAAACAGTAGAAAAATCATTTGGTATACACCCCATACAACCAAATGGTAAAAAACAAACTACGAGAAAATTCCTTGCATTAATCGTTAAACATTTTCCTAGAGACAGTAAACTTAGTACAATTTTTAATAAAATTACCCTAAAAATTAAGTTTCAGTTGTACTGAAAACTTAGAAATGATCATTAAGGAACATAATGCTAATATCTTGAATAAACACATTAAACCAAAATCAAAAAATTTATAAATAAATAAATGTGTAGAAATCCTCAAAATCAAAATAAATGTTTACTGAATGCAATATCCCATCTCATCTATTGAGGATCCAGAAAAGTAAAAGTCTACATTATGCACAAGACATGAATTCAAAAAAGCGTTGGAATCAATATTAAAGTTTTTTTTAAAATAAGTAAATACCGGAATCAGACGCCCCTATCTAAATATTTCTGACACTTAAAAGAAACCAATAAAACACCTACTGTAAAATGGAAATCAATAAGAAAAGCTAAAGTTTGTAGGTCATTAAATGATCCATGTCCGTTGTACATACATGAAGTATTATACATTATTAAGTTTATAAAAAATAAAAATTTACTTAATCAAAGAAATGAAATAGCTATTTTTTGCAGACACTGTCAAAGATTTTCCTTAAATAATCGTTAAATGTGACAAAAAGATGAAAAATAAAACACATATTTATACTTGATCTTTGATTAATAAGTTTTAAATAAGAAATTAATTCTAATATATTTGTTTGTTTTTGTCTATTAGTAATTAGAATTAGGAATAATAAATTTAAATTGTAGGAATAGATTTTAAATATTAAAAATACGACGTACTCATATACAAACGGCCCTTTCGAAAAAAAATCCTTTTAAATAAAATTGAAAATTAAACGGCAAAATAAAAATGCCTAAAAGCTTTTTGTCATTGAAAAAGATAAACCAGACGACATGGGAAAAACGGATGTCATCATTTGTTGAACAGGCATCCCTACCTTATTTTAATTTAAGCTGATTTTGAAAGTAACTCATATTTTGATACACAGGTTGTCTATGAAAATGAATACCATACCACCCCTTGTCAAAATAATTGAATTTCCCGTAATCTTAGCAACTAATATCAAGATTTCATATGCTTATAAACTCAGTAAATTTCAAAATGTTATTCCAACATAGCTTGAAAATGAAATAGTATAAGAATTTTAATTTAATTCTATAATTAAATTTAAAGTTTTAGTTTCTATTTTTGAAACATGGCAATTCCTGTGTAGCGATGGGACGATATGTTTAAATTAGTAAATTTATAATATATATAAAAGTACATATTATCACTCACCTATATATATTCATATGTATATTTATTAATATATATATATATATATATATATATGTACATATTATCTCTCACCTATATCTATACATACATATATATTATTTTGTATAATTTTATATCTCAACAAGCAGTATTTAAAAATATATAACAAACGTCATCAAAGCACAGTCCGATGAAATCCTAACGGATGAAACGCGTCATAAAAAATTTCCAGTTTGCCACACACATATATATATATATATATATATATATATATATATTAATTATTTTTTTAAAAAAAAAAATTATAACGTAAGTATGTTATAAAATCACTACAAAATAGCCATTTTGTTTCAACACATTTTGTGTCTTATCATGATGATGATGTTGAAAATAATATATATATATATATATATATATATATATATAATTGAATAATTGAGACAAGTTTTGTCTACTTATTTTCAATTGGATCCTTTCATATACACGGACAAACTTTTTGGTGTCATTATTAAAGGAAGCGAGAAAATTATCTGTGTTGATTGATATTATTTATATCTCGAGTACTTTCGACATTAGCTCAATGTCATCATCAGGATCCTTTTTTTTAAGTAAAAATAGAGTAGCGTTCATCATTTTCAAAGACAAAATTGTTGTGTTCAACTAAGAGTTGGACACAGTCAAGCCTTGGCGTTTATAAAAAATCTAATATTGAAACATTTTTCACTCTTCTTCCCTTGACAGTGGTTAGTAATTTGGTATAAGAGACTATATGTACTTTAATAAGTTCAATCCTCACCGAGTCTGTTTTGGGACAGTGTGGCATGCATAAGTCATGTGGCAAACCATTTGTATTTCTTTATGCTCGCCATGTTTCCTGATATGTATGATGGTTTGTTTCAGCAAAATAACGCAACATCAAACTCCTTTCCAGAAATATTCGGCTAATTTACCTATAATCCAATGGCTCCTGTGCCGGTCAGATCCAAACACTATTGACCGTATATAGAAAACATTTCAGAACACTAAATTACTCGTAGCTACACCCAACAAATAAAACTCAGTTATGGACAGAAATTCCTGGGCAGATATGCCCACTCACCGACTGCAGCACTATGCTGGAACTCATACTATGTCGCTCAGCCGCTGTTATTCGGGTAAAGAGTGAACTACATGTTAGGAAATAGCAGTTTCTATTTTTTTGGCACTTCAGTTTATCAATACGGTAAATTAATCCAATCGACTTCAGAGGCAGTCAGACCTGTTCGAATCGATTTCTTTATAAGAAGGGTTTAATCGGTTGTTGAAACATCCATACGTTAATAGGCAAGTAGATTCACAGGGACAATTTGCCACTGTTATTTGTTCAATCATAATTTTCTTTTACACTCTATTCCTGTTATAGTAGTATTTAAACGCCTACAGACCGAGCCGTCCGGTCGTCAAAACTGACAATGGATACCGATGCCATTTTTGGTACAGTTGCTATTATGATTATAGAAAAAGTGGATTATCCGTGTATTCATTTACCTTGCGTTTCTTCTTCTTCTTCTTCTTCTTCTTCTTCTTCTTCTTCTTCTTCTTCTTCTTCTTTCTATCTTTCTTCTTCTTTTCTCTATCTTTCTTCTTCTCTCTATCTTTCTTCTTATTATTATTCTCCGTCTGCTTCATCATCTTCTACTTCTTCTTCTATCTTTTCATTCTGGCTCTTCTTCTTCTTGATAGAAAATCTTTATCTTTTCTAGACTTCTTTTTTCTTCTTCACTCTATTTTCTTCTTCTTCTTCCATCTGTCTTCTTATTATTCTCCCTCTATTTTCTTTTCTTTATCTTTCTTCTTCTTCTTCTTCTTCTTCTTCTTCTTCTTCTTCTTCTTCTTCTTTTCTTCTTCTTCTATCTTTCTTCTTCTTCTCTCTTATTTTTCTTCTCTATCTTTCTTCTTATCTCTCTATTTTCTTCTTATTCTTCTTCTTCTTCTTTTTTCTTCTTCTTCTCTCTATCTTTCAATTCTTCGCTCTTCTTTCTTCTTCGAATCTTTTCTTCTTAATCTTCTTCTTCTTCTTTTTCTATCTTTCTTCTTCTTTTCTCTATCTTTTTCTTCTTCTCTATCTTTCTTCAAAATTATTTCAAATGTGCTTCATCATCTATTTCTTCTCTCTTTTTTTCTTCTTATAAAATCTTTCTTCTTCAAAAAACATCTTCTTCTTCTTTATCTTTCTTCTTCTTCTCTCTATCTGTCTTCTTATTATTCTCCCTCTGCTTTTTCTTCTTCTTCTTCTCTCTATCTTTCTTTCTTCTTCTTTCTTCTTCTTTTCTATCTTTCTTCTTCTTCTCTCTTTTTCTTCTTTCTCTATCTTTTCTTCTTCTTCTTCTATCTTTCTTAATTTCTTCTTCTTCTTCTTTTTCTTCTATAAAATCTTTCTTCTTCTTCTTCTACTCTCTTCTTATTCATTCTATCTATCTTCTTCTTCTCATTCTTCTTAATCTTTTTCTTCTTCTTCTTCTTCTTCTAATGATCTTTTCTTCTCTCTATCTTCAGATTCTTCTCTCTATTTTTCTTCAATCTATCTTCTTCTTCTTCTTCTTCTTCTTCTTCTATGATCTATCTTCTTCTTTCTATCTTTCTTCTTCATCTATCTTTCTTTTCATTCTTTATCTTTCATTCTCTATCTCTTCTTTTTCTCATTTCTCTCTCTTGTATCGTTAATAAAGGAGTCTCATTAAAATTTCTTTTCTAACTAACATCAGTCATGATATTTCAAAGGATTTCCTATCAGAAAACTTTCATGGAACCAAAACTAGTTTTAAACAAGTGAAAGAGGTTTCTCAACAACCGTTGGTTTTCTTTGATATCTTTCGAAACTTCGCCAATCGCCGGCTTCAAATGCTATCAAATGTTTTGACCACTGTACACCCCGACCTTCACCAGGTGTCTGTAGCATACTAATATATTTATCTGTTTAAAAAAGCATATAGTCTATTAGCAATTAGAATTAGGAATAATAATTTTAAATTGTAGGAATAGATTTTAAATATTAAAAATACAACGTAATATACAAACGGCCCTTTCGAAAAAAAAACCTTTTAAATAAAATTGAAAATTAAACGGCTAAATAAAAATGCCCCAAAACGTTTTGTCATTGAAAAGGATAAACCAGACGACATGGGAAAAACGGATGTCATCATTTGTTGAACAGGCATCCCTACCTTATTTTAACTTAAGCTGATTTTGAAAGTAACTCATATTTTGATACACAGGTTGTCTATGAAAATGAATACCCTACCACCCCTTGTCAAAATAATTGAATTTCCCGTAACCTTAGCTAGTAATATCAACAATATTCGAGATTGTCGACCGAAACAATTTATTTTGCGCCCTACAGGGGTATTTTTTCTTTAAGCATTTAACCCCAAACAAGGCTAGAGTGCCACTATCACGCAAGGGGGTTACAGACAGTGAGAGAGTAAAAGTAAAGAGGGGTGTTTGAGGAAAGGATAAAGTGAAGGACGATGATCATGATCAAGGCATCAGAAGATGTCACTTGACATTACATTTTAATATCATAGCTATCAGAAAAACAAGTAGAAGGAAGAGGGTTCTACTGCCGGGAAGGATGAGAGAAGAAGCTGTTGGAGTAGAAGAGGCGGTTAGGTTTAACTGTTTCGACAGTGAAAGGGTGGGACTGAGATACCAATCTTGTAGCACGCTTAAATTCATGCAAATCGGGTACCAGTGAAAGTAGCTCGTCAGAGCAGTTGCCATGAAAATATTTGTAGAAAAAACAGAGGGAAGCCACATCAGGTCTTTGAGAAAATGACTGTAGACGAGATACCAGGTCAGGACCTATCACGTTGTATATCCGTCTTTGAATTTTGTTCTTATTCTTCAAATTGTCTTGTCCGGTGTGTTTGGCGTATTTAAGAAGTCGAAGCCTTCATGATCGTTAGAATAAGGAATATGTCACACGAGTGAGTCGATGTGTACTTGACGATGGGACTGGACTTAGGGCTCCCAGAAAACTAAATGAGTTTTACCAACGTGTCTATTCACCAAGGTACATCTAGTAGGATGTGCCAGTTATTCTATTTACATTATTCGGACTATTGTCCTCATCTTTGTCGCCATATTTATTACAACGTTTTGGCCTTTCAGTATCTGTCTATATTTCTGAGATGAGGTATTATGTACACTATTTACAATATTCGGACTATTGTCCTCATCATTGTCATCATATTTATCACAACGTTTCGGGCTTTTAGTATCTGTCTATATTTCTGAGATGAGGTATTATGTACACTACTTACATTATTCGGACTATTGTCCTTATCTTTGTCGCCATATTTATTTCAATGTTTCAGCCCTTGTACACTCCGGCCTTCTTCAGGTGGTTGGAATGTCGAACTGAACCCTTTATTTCGCTCACTGTAGACTGTTCTAGTTCCACATGTCATGTCTAAGTTCTCCACCGCCTTAACCAGGTATTGAACTCACACTCTTTGGGTCCTGTCACTGGATCTAACTAACCCCTTTATCCCCTGTGTTCTTGGTTAATACCCGGTTAAGGTGGTGGAGAACTTGGAGAGGGAAATTAACAGGAGATAACTGACATCCATTAGACATGGCAGGTGGAACTAGAACAGTCTATCCCAGTGTATGCGTCTAGGTGGCACCGAGTAGAAGTAATAACTTTGTTACTCGGCTGCTGCCCTTATTATCAAGATGGACAGGCAATACTGCTCTTCACCCATCGCCTAAATCTCCACGCGCCAAACTTTGCAAACCGTTTCATCGGGCGGGCTAAATCACGTAAAATTACCATCGGAAGGCGCTGCACTCTTCCGTGTACTGCTAGTACTGGAGAGGTATAACTGTGATAATAAAACCTGAGGGATATTGTTCATTGTGTTCGTGGTAAATATTTGAACCAACTCAGCCTTCCAATAAGTGTGGTTGGTTCTACACAAGCCTTCACCACTTTAAACAGATCTTTTGTATGGATAGTCTGCAGTTCAGTTCTGTGTTCCTTCTTTGTTATTCCACCTGAGCAACAAGTCCACTGTCGAGAGAGTTAAGACGAGGGGACAGGTATAGGATTAAAAACTGAACTGAAAGACACTCATTCGTCGAAAACGATGGGAGAGTCCATCACACACACACACACACACACACACACATATATATATGTATATTAAAGCAATTCACCCCAAGCAGGGCGGGAGTGCCACTAGCATGCAAGAGGTTACAGAGAACAAGAGTAAAGAGACATGTTTGGGGAAAGGATACAGAAAAGGACGCGGAACAAGCTCAGGGTGTCAGATGTTGATTGATATTACACTTATTTGAAGATCATATTTGAAGATTATCGGGAAAGAAATAAGGGGAAGGGAGTTCCACAGGTGGGTAGTGCGGGAGGAGATATTAATAAATTTACATATACCTACGTTTGAAATACAACTTGTTTCGTTGTTCTACGAACTCATCAGGCACGAATTATTACTTTTGATTAAAAAGAATTTATACTTGGTCTCATGGGAGGAAGCTCAAATTTAAAATAAAGTATTATAATATTGTGGTATAAATACAGAAAATAGGGTGTAGGTTTGGAACTATTGTAAAAAAAAGAAAATTGAAAAGAAAAGGCAAATTTAAAAGAGGAACGTCGGATAACTCATTAAGTAATAATAGACGTTAAAATCGTTAAAGGGGGGGATATTCAGTATGTAACCTAAAATATGAGAAGTGCATGTTGGGTAATATATTTATCCAGAATTAAAATATTTTAAGAACATTTTTTTTCTTGTGATTACAGCCTAATATTAGGTAAATGTATATTTATTAATATATACTTCTTAGCTCTGTCTAACCACATTGAGCACGGTTTGGTTTAAATTGAGTTAATATTCGCTTACCTGTGTATGCACGCTAACGCACGTATATAAGGTTGCGAATATCTAGTTATTTGATTTACTCACCACACACACACACACACACACACACACACACACACACACACACATATATATATATATATATATATATATATATATATATATATATACCAGGTGTAACAGCAAAATTGTCCAATTGTTAGATTAAGCTTTGGATCGTTGTATCTTAGAAATGATTAAAGATATCTTACTGGAATTCTATGAGTTTTTTTTTATAACACTATTGGACTCTACAATAAGAACAATAAGAATGTATTTAGCTCTAATTTGAAACGGTGATCCCTCTTGGTGTTGTGACATCCTGATCCAGTTTTCCTCTCTAATGTTCCCTTTTTTTTAAAATTATTCAGTTCTTTTGATGGTTCCTGAAGGGACTTTGAGGATGGAAGTCTGAGTATGAATGTTGTTACCATTAATGAATGCCTGAATGATCTTTTTCCTCTGAACATTGCTCAATTGAAGACACAGTGGGTGTGACACAAAACAATTTTAACCTATACTCTTTCTAGCTAAAGTTTTTTTAGTGATTCTTACAACAAATGATGTCAAGATGGCTAAACGTTTTATCTGAAAATCTGAAAAAAGAAACTCAATTAGTTTAGTGGTTTAAACCTTTACGGCGAAAGAAGAATATGAATTAGTCCTTAAATATAATTCGCCGCACACACACACACACACATATTTATACACACACACACATATATATGTGAGTGTGTGTGTGTGTGCTTTGTCTGTAACAGTTGAGTGACAGTGTGCAAACTTTTGAAGTCATGACCACATTCACGGCCACAGAAGAAAAGCTACCGCGCTGACAAGCTACAAAAAACCCCTTCTTTCCCTCTCTCTGCGAACTATGATCAAAGCGAAAGGAGAGATGGAAAGGAAGAATGAAAGAAAGATAGATGAAGAGAGAGAGAGGTAAATAGAAAGGGGTAGGAAGAGGAGATAAATATAATTCAGACAAAACTTGGCCGAGATTTATATTTTATTTAAAAAGTTACTTCGCTTCGATGTGTCTTGGATTGTAGGTTTAGACTATCACTAGCGATATTGTACTAATTTCCCAGCAAATTTGACTCTCAAGAATACCGGACGCGTGTCACAAAAGCGCGCGTACACAATGAGGATAAAATACGGTTATCTTTCCTGGCATCTTTATAAATTGCACACAATTCAATTAACGTTAACAACGAACCATTTTAAATTACAAAATTGTACTTGGATTTATTAAGCGAAAATTACTTATCATATAATACATATTACTTATAATACATTCCTTCTTGACGTCAGTTTTGACGTCACGGGTATACTAGTTGTTTAATAAATCTTCTTGGGGATAGCACAATTTACACACACAACTCGTACATCTATAATTAAATAATTTGATTTATTTCAAGACAAAAAAAGATAGACACGAAATTTTCTTATTTCATAA